TTTCATTGCTCGTGGGCCTGTCACTGGTCTCTAGAAGAATGTCTCAGATTCTTCTGGAGAAGAATGGGCAGGATTGTTAGCAATCTCTGGGATTTCAACCTTTAACCCCCCCGTGTGTTTCAGAATCAGAAACCTTCACACCCAACTTCTGCCTTTCCTCCTAGAATTCACGGATCTGAGACTGGTGAGTGGCAGTGACTGTGCTGGGCGACTGGAGGTTTTCTACAGTGGGACTTGGGGCAGTGTTTGCAACAATCCTATGGATGCCGTCACCATGGCACTTACATGCAAACGGACTGTGGAGACAGAGGGACACTTTTGAAAGAGTTTACACATGGAAGCGGCTCTGGCCCCACCTGGGTGGATGGTGTTCGGTGCGATAAGCAGCACAGCTCCCTTTGGCAATGCCCGTCAGACCCTTGGAAACAACAATCGTGTAACAGAGTAGAAGAAACCCATATTGCTTGTGAAGGTAAATAGCAAACATATACATACACACACAAACACTCAACAATCAGGTCTAGCTCACTGAAAGATTTTGATGTAATTATTATATTTTTTTTACTTTTCACTAGATCATTTTATCAAATACATACACATTTATATACATTATAAATAAATGTGTATGTATTTGATAAAAAGAAAAAGTAAAAAAATATAACAATTATATCAATCTATATCTATAGCTATATAACATTCTTAGCAATGGTACAAACTTCTTTTCGGTATCTGAGGTTCTAGAAATAGTAATGTGGCCTGTTAATAACAAACATGGACATCACTATTACAAAGACATACATTTCACCGCAACCACAATTAGGGTCTAATCCAACACCCAGTGAAGTCATGGAATCACAGATTTTAAAGGCTGAAGAGACTGTTAGGATCTTCTAATCTGACCTCCTGCATATCGCAGGCCATAAAATATCAGCAAGTAATTCCTACATCAAGCCTGTACATAGTGGAGTTAGAGCAGATCTTTTAGAAATACGTCCAGTCTTGATTTAATGACTTCATATCAAGGAGACTCCCCATATCCTTTGGTAAATTGTTTCAATGGTTAATTAGCATGAACAAATTCTAAGCCCTTTGCAATCCCTGTTACTGGGATCAGAAACTTGATCTCTCAAGTCTCATTCACACAGCAGCAGAGCCTTTCAGGAGAGGATTATTACCCTCATTTTACAGACAGGGAATGGAGACACAGAGAGATGAAGTGTCCCAAGGTCACCCATGGTGCCTTAATGAGCATTGGCTCAGGCCTCTGGAAGAGCCAGGAAGTGATACCCATTAAAGAACATGATTAGTGTGCCTTTCTGGTTAAACATCTTCCAAGGAATAACAATCAGAGGTTTGGGCTGTGAAGGTCATCTATAGACCTGTGTCTCAAGTATTATTTTTATTATGGTAACACCTAAAATCCCCAAAGGCCTCATTGCCCCAGGCACCGTCAAAACACGAATCGAGAGAGGCCTGCCATACAGAGTTTACAGTTGAGATAGACCAGATGAGTGGAAGGGGAAACAGATGATAGAGGGGTGAAGGGACTTGCCTAAGTCACACGGCAGATCTGTTGCAGAAACAAAAATAGAACCCCTGTCTTTTAAGTCCTAGTGCAGTACCATAACCACTGGACCACACTGCCTTTTCGTGTGGGGAAGTTCAGACCTGCAGCTCCTATACAGCCCCCTCTCAATATTACTTTCCCTCTTCTGTTGGTTCCTGTAATAATGAGGGTGAGTTTCAGCTCAGGTGTCTGTTTCCATTCCAATCTCTGGGCAGAGGTGTTAGGGGAGTTGTCTGCGGGGAGAGCTAGAGGAGAATCAGATACTGTCCTGCCAGTTACATAAAGAGACACACCCACCAGCAGGGAGCTGCTTAAAGACTGCAAAATCCAGTGTAACAGCTGAGTAGCTAATTAATTATTCAATAACCCAGATTTTGTCTTTCAGCCAATTTATAAAGCACTGGTATTAGGGGTGTGAAATACCGATAAACCCTACTCGAACCTGATTCGCACACACTGCCCGATCCACTCACCTCAGCTTTCTCTCCATAGGAACTAAAGGGAAACCACCTCAGACCCTGTTTACTGAATGCCCGAACTCTACAAACTGCACAGGTATCTCTGCTTCTCTGTGTCTCCCTCTTGGTCCCTAAGGACTTTTCCAGCTCCCCCAGTAACATGTGAGGTTTCTGCATTTCCAGACAGGGAGAAGTTACGTGTCATGGGAGGAGAGGACAGATGCTCGGTGAGAGTGGAGGTTTGGTACCGTGGCTCCTGGGGAACAGTTTGTGATGACTCCTGGGACATGGCGGATGCTAACGTTGTGTGTAAACAACTGGGCTGTGGATCTGCTGTATCTGCCCCGGGCAAGGCTGCATTCGGTGAGGGGACTGGTCCCATCTGGGTGGAGAAGATGAACTGCAGAGGGACAGAGTCATCTCTCTGGGACTGTTGTTCCAAGCCCTGGGGTGAGAGCAATTGTGACCATAAGGAGGATGCTGCTGTGAATTGCTCAGGTGAGTGACAGGAGATGTTTCTGTTACATGCTGTAATTTTCGGGGAGGAGGATGGATGAGCCCACCCACCCCCGCCTTGGTCACAGACCAGGCCCTCCCATCTCCTGTGTGAAAGAGCATCATGGATGCGGTGGGGTAGAACCTTTATTGAGTTAGATTGGGTAAGACATCAGCCGACATAGCCCCGGCATCCCTCACAGGCCCCAGTGTGCTGGTTTGTTACTAGAGTCCTCATTGCTGCACAGAGCACAAGAGACTTGGGCCCTAAATCACTAACATACAGGCCCTGTGCGGCTGTGAGGGAATTTGTGGAGGTAACAGCTGGAGACAACCAGGGACTCTCAGAGGTGAGGTTCCCCCTGGTAACAAACATGTCACTTCCCCCTTGCTCCAGGCTCTAACTCTCCTCCCTTTCCCTTTGCAGGTGTGACACAGACGACAGATTCACCAAATACCCCAGGTAAACCCTCCCTCTTCTCCATCAAGTGTTAAATTTCCCTGGGGCTGGGTCACAGAGGAGGAGCTGCAAGCTGCAGCCTGAGGGAAGGAGCTCCTTTCCATGGCCTGTGACATCTGAGAGCGAAGGACACCCGGGTGGGAGCTGCAGGCCCTGCTGAGCAGGATGATTCCTGTCTCATGGCTCCAGCTGACAGGGCAGGACCCATGATTTAAACAGCAGCCTGTGAGCTGCCCCAGTGGAGCAGAGACTGTGTCCCAGCCCCATTACCCTGCTGTCCTGGGCCAGGCAATGAATGACTGGGGAGCTCCCTGCTCCCCCCTCCCCACGACTCTCACAGGATAATCCCTCTTTGTTGCTTGTTCATTTCCATCCAGCTCCCCCGCGTCGCCCTCTGACTGACAATGGGAGAGTCACGGTGCCTGTGGTCATCTGCATTATCCTGGGGGCCCTGCTCTGCCTGGTCTTAATCATCCTGGGAGCGCAGGTGCGAAGTGCCAGGGCACAGCGCAGAGGTGGGTGCTGATTGGTGTCATTGTGTGAAATGCCTCTGCAATAGAAGGGGACTGCAGGGTGTCAGGGTGAGGGGTGATACCGGGCTGGGTGGGGTGGCCGAGGGTGCCTGTTAACTCCTCTCTCATTTAATATTTCATTAACTGTCTGGCAGTGGAACAGCCCAGCCATGAAATCTGGAGATGATACTAGCTAGCGAGCATCACAGTTTAAGGGAAACTGCACCTGTATCCCCCCACTCCCTCCCCGTGGTGCACTCCAGGAGTGCCAAATCACACCTCAGGCTCCAGGCATTACCTGTCTCAGGTTAGAACCCCCCAGTCCCATCTCCTGCTGACCAGGGTCTAAAGGCTGCACAGCCCCCTGACTTCCACTGTGATATCCCCAGAAGCCAGGCTGCTTAAAGGCCAGCCCCCGTGCTGTGCTTTCTCTCCGCGTGCTATGAACAGTGTATTGCCAGCAGTTACAAATTACCTCCCAACTCTTTCTCACCTGACTGCACCTTATTAGTAGGATAAAAGCTTCACAGAGAAAACACACACAAAATACAAAATTCCTCCACACTTACTGAACATACCAGAAATCACCCATCTTCCTCATGGGCAGCCTGGTACAGCAATGTCCCTTCAAATCATATAGCATTGGCCTTCCCATGTGGAGAAGAGCCTGTTCATTTCCTAAATCAAAACGAAGGCCCTGAGTTTGTTTAAACTCAGCCTTTTCTACCAAAAGTCTTTCTTTGTCTCCTGGTCTCTGGTATCCCAGGTTGTACCAGTCCATGCATATCGCTCCAAGGCCTGGTACCTTTCTGGATTGTTTACGATCTCAGTGTTTCACCTTAATAATCCTCCATTGTTTTTTCTTCCTGGAGGACCTGTGGTAACCCTCATCCATGGCGTAAAACACAATCATACCTAAACTATTCACAGATTTCATACAATGGTTCCCAAAGATAATGCGTGGGGTTGCAATATCTGTCACAGGAGGGGTTCTAAATATCAGTGAGGAGAGACATCATGGAAAGAGGCCTACATAGACTGGAAATGTTGTCAGACAAAAAAGGGTACAAAAATAGAGCTGGGAAAATAGTTCTGTAGAGAGAAATCCAGTGGAAAGCAGAATCTTAGGAAGGAGAAATGCTGGAAAGGAGCATTATACTGTATTATACTCATAAGTGGCACTTATAGAGGATTTTACATCTATAAAACACTGTACAAATATTAGCTACCAGCACCCTGGGAGGCAGATAGATAACAGGATTGCCATTAACATATATGTAACAGTCACAGTTTAGCAATAGAGCAATGTCTATAATGTTAGAGAAGAATGAGCAGGAGGACCCAGAGGCGGATTGAGTAGCCGGGCTTCTTTATTGCAGTACTTGTTCCCCTTGACCCAGTTGTCAAGTAAACACTGGATTAATTACGGCACACACTTTTTATTTAAACGCCTACATCTGCTATAACACCCAAAACCCCTTATTAAGTAATAGAAACACCCATACTATTGTTGCCGGCCCAGAGGGCCCCGAGCGGGCAACAGGGTTCATTGCCCGGTGTGCGCCGCACCAATAGACACACCAGGGTGGAGAAGCAAATCAAATTTATTCAAGAGCTCTGAATAGGCACTAGGAGACCAGCATGTCTCAAATCAAGTGCAGCAAATACAAGCAAGTGTCCCATTTTATATTCCAAGCTGTTTCTGTGTAGGCTTTGTCTGTTTCTT